CAGATTAGCACTCTCAGCGATATGTCGAGGAAGACGCACCTACTTCGTCATACGCTAGCATAATAGCTTTCGCGACCGTTGAGTCACTCAGTAACGGCATCTCAGCCGATATAGCATGCCTTAGTGCATGCAGACTCTGGGATTTATACTGAAGAGTCAGTTGTTGAAAGATGCGTTGCTGTTCCTGCGACCCCTGTCCATATGCAATAGACAAGTGACGGCATGCCGCAAGCAAGATGATATCGAGAAGGCTTGACTCGGTGATCGCAGTAGGGACCCAAAGTCTTATCATGCGCTGCGCGAAGAAGATTGCGCTCTCATTGCAGCGCATCAGAGGGATGACGACACTGACATCTTCACCATAATTTAGCAAACTTAGTATGTTCTGGACTTGGAGGCCATACAATGATCAAAGAGAAAATGCTCTAATGAGTTTAAGCCCCTAGCAAAGCAATGAAAAGGGTCTCGCCTATCAGCCGAGAGGATTGTGACAACTCCAGGCGATACACTGTCTCTGAAGCTAGGATAACTACTGAATACACTGTCTCGTGTGTCTCTCCTCCCCCGCTTCTGTGCCTGATACTCTATCATCCGCCGATGTCGGGCGCGGGCATGCGCAGAGCGAGCGGCATGTGAGCGAGTAATCCGTTGTTGTGACTCTGTCAATGTAGCCTTCTCTTTCGGAACAAGCGTGACATTGATAAAAGGTACTTCCCGCTCAGCCATCCTGGAGAAAAGACAATAAATGAAATATTGTCTCTCAAGGGTGAGCCACACAATGTTTATGATGACATTTTGAGATGAAGCTGGGCAGCTGACATGGCTGACAAAGCATCTATTATCAAACTTTGCCAAGACCTGCGCCTTCTCAAAGAGGCTTAATGCTTATTTTGGATAGACTCAGCTTCGTGATTGGCTCAATGTGCACTGTTGATGTCGTATAGATAGATTCTGCCATGTATGGGAGATATTTTACTAGGAAAGGGGGCATGAACGACGAATATAAAAGCATCATGTCCTCCCCTTGCTTCATCAGACTTCGTTATATCGTCCCTTCTTTGAACTCAAGTCTCCAGGTTATCCATCGATTCCATCATGGAAGGAACAGTCCTTATCACCGGCGCAAACGGCTCTCTTGCCCTAGGCTTCATCCAAGCCTTACTATCCCTCCATCCCCAGATGGCCCTGATCGCCACCGTCCGGAACCCCTCTCCAGACCAAGACCCAAACACCGCGAAACTCCTCAACCTAGTTGCCTGCTACCCTAAAGCGAACTTCCACCTGGAGGCCCTCGATCTCGGCAACCTTGCCAGCGTCCGCTCCTTCGCAGATCAACTAGCCGACAATATAACCTCCAAGAAGCTTCCACCCATCTCAGCAATTATCTGCAACGCCGCCACCTTCTCCTTCGATGCAGGACAGGTCTTCACGACGGACAGTTATGAGGCTACCTTCCAAGTATGCCATCTGTCTCACTACCTCTTGATCTTGAAACTTCTCGATAGCATGAACAAGACATCCGGACGCATAGTCCTCCTTGGCTCAGTAACCCATTACCCCGAAAAACCCAACCCGATTTGTTCTCTGAGGCCGGGGTTTCCGGAGACTATGGATGATTTGGTGCGTCCGCCGCCGGATCCAGCAAATCTTGTGCATGATAAAGGGTTCCAGAGATACGGTTCTGCAAAGCTGGCGAATGTTACGCTGGCGATGGATTTGAATCGCAGGTTGAAAGAGGTATGTTGTTGCACTTCCCCATAAGAAAGGAAAGAATTGACGTTGGCTTTTGCAGGACGAGCAGCTATCGGGTATCACTGCATTGGCTATGGACCCAGGTGGCCTTCCGAGTTCGAGGGCGCAGGCGGGGCAGAAAAGGTTGGCGCGGTGGTTGTTTAGGGTTGTTGAGTTTCTGATGCCGGTTCTGCGGTATCTAACTACCATGTTTCGCACCATTGAGGATGCTGGGCGGGATTTAGTGGCTGTGAGTGTTGAGGATGAGTTCCGAGGGAAATCGGGGTACTATGTTGGGACGAAGGAAGGGGCGCCTGCGGCCATTAGTGAGGATCATGAGGCACAGGAGAAATTGTGGAAGAATTGTTGGAGGTGGGCAGGTATGCGGGCTGAGGAGACTGTGCTTCGAGATGCTTGATAGATAGTTATCGCAGGACAGGATAAACCTAAGGACGTGTGTGTGTTTAATGTCGAAATATATATTCTCGCTCTCAAAAACGTGTACATATTTATAGGGCATTATGTAATTTGCTGGTATCAAACTGAGTAGAAAAGACAAAACTTATATCCGGAATGCCAAAAAAGCCACCAGCGCCATGAAAAGCGAAGCAGAAACAGACGGTATGACAGAGTGGCTTCCACCAGACGACGAAGAACCCACAGCAGCAAGCCTCAGCTCAGAATACGTTACATTGGAGGTATTGTAGCCACACAGCCCACTTCCCGGCATCATTGCAGCGGGAAAGAAGACCCGAGGCTCGCCCTTGTCCATGTCCACGACCAATTGGCTGTAGGTGTTGACCGTATAGTTGACGCAGTTCAGCACTTCCGTGACCACCTCGCTAGCCCCATAGCTCATAGGCAGCGTCAAAGTATAAGCCGAACCATTGGAGCCCGCCGTAGATAAGACCATGATGACTTGGCGTCCGTATGTGCCCTTCCAGAAAGCCAACTCGCTACCTCCCTGGTAAATCGGGTATGTCTTTGAGTTGATGTAACTGGAATCAAGGTTAATGGCATGTTTGCGGATGGCATTGAGTTTCGCAATGTGTTTATACAGCGTCGCATTGGTGTCGAAATCGGTCAACCAGAGGGCCGCTCGGTTGGAATAGGCAATGGCCTGCTCCAGACCTTGGTAGACCAAGGGAATGCCGTCGTAGAGCATCATGAAGGTTAGTGCAGTTTTGGCTAGCATAATGTCGTCATTCATGTAGGCCCATCGGTCCACGTCTTGATCTTCGATGAAATTGACCATTGCGAACGTGTCCGTGCAGAGATCGTTGATCGTCGCGATTTCCTCGAGCAAGGTCGCAGGCTCTCCGTTCAAGAAGGCCGTGATCATGGAGTAATAGAGGGGGTAGTTGGGAAGACTTGGCAGGTAATCTCTCTGATACTTGCACACGTTGGTGGCATTCGAATCCATGACTTCGCCCGTCATAAATCCGCCCACGGTTTCCGCATATGTAGGCAGAAAGCTGGGAGTGAGAGATTTGGCAGCGTCGATTCGTAGCCCGTCAACGGAGTAATTGCTAATAACCGATTTACTCCAGTCCATTAAGATGTCCTGCACCGCAGTATGCTCCGTGTAGAGATCCGGGAGTGCGGTGTAGTTGTCACCAGTCTGACACCACTGTGCATCCGTATAGTTGTTCCAGTTTGTAATGAGGCAGTAAGGGTGGAAGTATGAGGATCCATTGAATTGAGGAAAGACATTGTAGTCAATTGTTGTCGCAGGATCCTCGCCATCCGTCATATAAGCCATGTTGTTGATGACGACGTCCAGCAGCAAGTACATGTCTCGTGCGTGGATCTCCTCGCTCAGCTTCAAAAGTTCCTCCCGGGTCCCGAAATGAGAGTTGATCTCGTATAGATCCAGAGGCCAGTACCCATGGTAGGCCTCCCCGTCCTTAGATCGCCCCGCAATGTTTTTAATTACAGGGGAGATCATGATGGCATCGAACCCCATGCCTTGGATGTAGTCCAGCTTATCGATCGTCCCCTGCCAAGACCCGCCACAGTAATTGGCTTCCGTAGTATTGCATGGTGCGGTGGTCGAGCCGTTGGTGAGGGCAAACCGATCGGTCATTGTCTGATAGATGGATCGCGTCTTCCATGCTTCTGTGCTTGCGGCTGTCGCTAGCGAAACGCACCAGCACAGGAGACAGACGGCCATGAGCCGTTGGCCCAGGAGGGAAGAGAATTTTCGAAACATAATTGGCCGTAACTACCCTCTATGCCCCCTTGTGGAGGTTCTGCTTCCCGTTGGGTGGGTTTAGAGTGACCGAATGAATTATGACAAGCAACAGCTTACTCTAACGAATGTGCTTTAAGCGTTTCAACTTCACGCGATCCAGCCAAACGGGCCGCTGAGCATGATGTTGAGGCCGGATACGCTGTTCCCGTTGCAATAACGGGGAAAAGAAAGAATGACAAGTCAAAGCAACGCGACTCAGGGGGGCGGAACCCCCGATAGCTATAGCAAGAGATAAGAGCGCCAGACCGGGGGCTGCAGAAAAAGGCCGGTCGAAGCCGGAAGTACCATAAATAGGTAGTCTCTCCCCCACCCTCGGTCACATCGTGTGCCCGGAGCCCTATCCATCATACTAGTCAACACCCAACGAGAACCAAAAATAAAGACGACCTCTAAATTTGTAACGCTCGATGATATTTTACTCTACTAGTACTCCAGTTCACCCGAACATTCGAGAACGGGTAGCAGCGCTAAACACGAAGATCCCCTGGGATTGTCGCGGGAGATTGACTGATTATCGTGAGGGCAGGGCAACGCTGGAGGGCGAAGTGGACAAGGCAAATTAACTTCCCACTTTTCGGCTGGGAGAGCGTTCAAGCGTCAAACAGCTGATTGGTGTGATAGTGACGAGGCCATGCGTGGTCCAGTGGCAATTGCGTAAGTCTGCCGGGCCGGCCCCCACATGCCTTGTCATGATGTTTGGATGCAGTGGAGTCGATGCCTTGGTTTGTGGTTAGTTGTTGGTTAGTTCCTGCTTAGTTCCTGGTTAGTGCCGACAACAGCCTTTCACAGGACGATGTTCATCTCCACTCGGCCACTATCTTCGAATAGAAGCTTTGCCGGCCAAGCGGCTAAAATCATAAGTCCGAGCTCCGGCCAGGCACAGCGAAATAGAGCAGCCCCTAAACCTGACATCCGAAAAAGCCACTCGGACTTGCAGGGAAAATTCTGCCACGCCGTTGGCTCCAGGCAGCTGTCCAATTTCCCACCATAATCTATCCGGGCGGGGTTTGGGTGTGTTCACCATGCAGGAAAGCCGGTTTGTGTAGTGCCTGACTTGAGCCAGGAGAAGGGGGCCCAGTATCTACTCCGTATGCCCACGATCTTGAGATTGACATTGAGATTTCGGATGATCAGAGGATTGACCGGGCTAAATTTGGTGTTCGGGCGTGGGTACTAAATCATGTTGCCATGAGGCCGTGCGGAACACCTGGAGAGTACGTATGGCCTCGTAATCAGTGGCTCGATTTAGGCCCAGCAGGATAGGCCAGTCCTGGCCAAGACTTGTCACTGGGGCAAGTCGCCTTATCGATATGTGATGGACACAAGCTGGAAGCCACGAGAACACTTATCAGTCGTTCTTTTGCTGGGGGCGCAGTTGGCTTTGGTCTCCCCCAAATTTGGCTTCTTCGTTTCCTCTGACTTGTCTTACTTTAATTTCTTTCCGTCGTTTTCATTCCCAACCATTCCCAACTGAAGACTTCATCCGCCCAATTGTTCATCTTTCGTTTGCATTCTGCTTCTTCACTCGTTTTCACCTCTACACGCCGTTCGTTCCGGACCACTCGGTCGCCACTCTTGGTCCTTGTCAAGTTTTGCTCGTTCAGAAACAAGGCACCCCTGTCATTATCTCTCGTTTTCTGTCTCGAATTCTGTAAGCCATTCGAAAGTGCGTACTTATGACTGGCTCGTAGAACAGCTTGGCCTTTTGTGATTGAACTGCGAGAAGAGGCCTGTTGCGCTGCAGCACAACATGAAGCGGGTGCTCGCTGGCCTCGTCCTTGCCTCCACGGCATGGCAGGCTGTCGCTTGGCCCTACAATGCATCACTCGCAGATTACAATCTGAACCAGAACAAAACTGCGACAAATCCTGCAGATTATTGGGGTCAATGGCCAAACCACACCGGCGATTATTTTCCATCTCCGGATAACTGGCGATTCCCGTTTTACACCCTGATGCTTGATCGCTTTGTGAACGGAGATCCGACAAACGATAATTACAATAATTCAGTATGGGAACACGATATTTGGTCAACACAGATGCGTCATGGCGGAGATGTAGCTGGTCTTATCGATACGCTTGATTATTTGCAGGGAATGGGCATCAAGGTCGGTCAAGGGAACAGAATCCGATTGTCGGAAATCGGGTAGGTGAGGTCGATTTGCTGATCAGGTCGGGTTCTAGGGAATTTATCTGGCTGGCACAGTTCTCATGAACCAACCCTGGGGATATGATGGCTATTCGGCACTGGACACGACTCTGCTCGACGGACATTACGGAAATCTAGCACAATGGCAACATGCAATCACCGAGATCCACAATCGTGGCATGTACGTTATTTTCGACAACACGCTTGCGACGTATGTGCTCCTATTGTCCCCCATTGCTAATTCCCATGCGATGGGCAATCACAGCTTTAAGAACTGCATCTAACGAGGCTTCCATAGAATGGGAGATTTGATCGGATTCGAGGGTTACCTAAATACCTCGGCACCTTTTACAGTGGACGAGCATAAAGTCGAATGGAAGACTGCTCGGCGATACGTGGATTTCGATTTTGGTAACACTTATAACGAGACCTGCGATTATCCCCGATTTTGGTATGAAAATGGTTATCCCGTCCAGAAGACGGTCACCGACTCCCTGGTTGGCTGCTACGACAGTGATTTCGATCAGTACGGTGATGTTGAGGCCTTCGGAGTATTTCCAGACTGGGAGCGAGAATTGGCCAAGTTTGCATCCGTGCAGGACCGTCTGCGTGAGTGGCGCCCGTCAGTCCGAGACAGACTGATTCGCCATTCGTGTCTGGTGATATACCAGCTTGACATCGATGGATTCCGCTACGATAAAGCCACGCAGGCTACAGTTGATGCTTTGGGTGATATGTCAGCTGCTTATCGCGAATGCGCCCGGGCAGTAGGAAAGGAGAATTTCTTCATAGCTGGAGAGATTACTGGTGGAAACACCTTCGGATCAGTCTATTTAGGGCGCGGTCGGCAACCTGATCAATATCCATCCTCGATTGAGGCTGCCATGAATCTCACGAATACCTCCGAGCCGCAATACTTCCTGCGAGAGGAGGGCATGAATGCCATTGATGGTGCCGCGTTTCATTATTCGATCTATCGCAATCTCGAACGGTTCTTAGGAATGGACGGCAGCTTGTCCGCCGGATACGATGTATCGGTGGATTTCATCAATGCCTGGAACGAGATGTTGGTGTCGAACGATTTCCTGAACCCTAATACTGGTAATCCATTGCCACGGGCTACAAGGAAATAGAAAGGATAAGAAAGCTGACCATAGATGCAGGTGATTTTGATCCCCGACACATGTATGGTGTCACCAATCAAGATGTCTTCCGCTGGCCAACGCTGGAGAAGGGAACTGAACGCCAGCTGCTTGGCCAATTTGTGACTACCTTGCTTCTTCCTGGGATCCCCTTACTGCTGTGGGGAGAGGAACAGGCATTCTATGTCCTGGATGCCACTGCGTCAAATTATATCTTTGGACGTCAGTCCATGTCGCCGGCCGTTGCCTGGCACATGCACGGATGCTTTTCCCTGGACTCCTCGACTTTCTATGACTGGCCTATTACAAGGGGTCGTCAGGCGTGCGAGGATATCACGGTAACGTATGATCATCGGGATCCCTCCCACCCAGCTCGCAACATCATAAAACACATGTACCAAATGCGCGTCGACTTCCCCGTGCTCAACGACGGCTTCAATGTCACCAAACTGTCCAACCATACTGAATATGTATACTACCCAGGATCCAATGGAACCGCCACTGAAACCGGTCTCTGGTCAGTTTACCGCGGCATCAGCCAAGACTTCCAGGACTTGGGAACCGGCAATAACCAGCCGGTCTGGTTGGTGTATCATAACACTAATCGGACAATCGACTACACATTCGATTGCAGTGACAATGACAGCGCATTGATCTCCCCTTTCGACACCGGCACCTGGGTCAAGAACCTTTTCTACCCCTTCGATGAACATGAGTTGAGCAGCAGTCCGCAAAAGCTTGGCCTCAATGGATCTACGGCCTATAACGGTTGTCTTTCCAACATGACGATGAAGGCTTACGAGTTCCGCGCGTATGTCCCACGTGCCAAGTTTACCAAGCCTCGGCCTATGATCACGGCTTTGTCCCCGGGGCACGATGCGCCCGTGCGATCCACTGTTGCACCGAACGAGGATGAATCGGTCGAAATCAAGATCTACTTCTCCGAGGCCATGAACTGTGATTCGGTGACAAGTTCCATCTACGTCAACTCTTCTACTGAGGCCGGGAAAACCCCAACAATAGACACAGACAGTGTCAGTTGCAAGACCGCCGCACTCAACGAGACCGGCAGCGACTGGTCTGGTTTTATCCCGAGTGCCTGGGTATGGCAGGGGAATTTGACTGGCGTGTACAATGGTATTCATCGTATCACCGTGAACAACGCCACTAATTCCTACAAAAACGAGACCACCGATTCTGTTGATCACTTTCTTCTGCGAGTGGGTCAAATTGATAACCCCATGATATACACGACCGCCAATTACTCCACCAGCCTGCTTCACAAATACGAAAATGGCTCGCTTTACATCCAACATCACGCTGCTGGTGCAGACAAGTGGCGATATTCCACGAACTGGGGGTCCTCTTATTCAGACTGGATGGATTACACGGGTGGAAACACTACCATAACAGAGTTATCGTGGTCCGGCACGAGCAAGCAAGCTTGGGACGGGTACCACGTCCGCGCTGAATATTGGAGCAAATGGTCGGGTAGCAGCGATTACGTGCAGGAAGGCGATACAGATTGGAAGAAAGGCCCTCGACGCTTTCCCCACATCTTCTGGGAAGGTCCCTACAATGAATACGGCTACGACGCTGGTTTGGAGAGCGAGATACACCTGGATCCAGAGGATGGGCTGTGGAAGTACCATTTCACTTATGAGTGGCCAGCAATCGGGCAGGTCAGCATCTGGGGGATGAACCCGGATGGTTCGCCGGACGAAGGATGGGTGATGGGCGATGCTGATAACGACTCCGTCCTTGACCGGATGCCTCCATCGTCCCTCTCCGAAACTGTGATCAATATTACATCGCATCCGCCTTCGCCATACATCTCCTGGAAGCTGATCATCGACGATGCCACTCAGAAGTTCCAACTGGTACCGGTAGGACATCAAGCGACACAGATTGCGATGTATGTGCTATTCTGGATCGTGCCTCCTCTTTCAGCTGCGGCGTGTTTCTGGGTCTTCATGAAGTCCTTCTACAAAGTCAAGTTCAACCAGGTCGGTGTGGACCAGAAGTCTGGCTTCGCAATTGCCCTGCGCCGAAGGTTCGAAAAGAAAGCTCCAGGTGGGGAGTATAACCGTCTCAACCCCATAATGCGACTGGCCAATAAATCAGGCTTGCTCCAAACTGCCACCCCTTTTAGCGCTGCTGCAGCCGCTGGGAAGCGTCGCATGGTTTTGATCGCCACCATGGAGTACGATATCGAAGACTGGGCGATAAGGATCAAAATTGGAGGTCTTGGAGTGATGGCCCAGTTGATGGGCAAGACCCTTAGCCACCAGGATCTCATTTGGGTGGTCCCCTGCGTGGGAGATGTCGAGTACCCTGTTGACACCCCAGCTGAGTCAATTCTGGTAACACTTATGGGCACGGAATATGAGGTGCAAGTGCAATATCATTACCTGAACAACATCACCTATATCCTACTCGATGCTCCGGTCTTCCGCCAACAAACGAAATCAAACCCGTATCCTGCGCGCATGGACGATCTGGAAAGTGCGGTCTACTATTCAGCATGGAATCAGTGTATTGCAGCTGTATGCAAGCGCTTCCCTATTGATCTGTACCATATCAACGACTACCATGGCTCTTTGGCGCCCCTTTACTTGCTCCCGGAAACTATACCTGTCTGCCTCTCCTTACACAACGCAGAATTCCAGGGTCTTTGGCCTGTCCGAACAGCTACCGAACGTGAAGAGGTACAGTCAGTTTTCAACCTCAGTGCGGATGTTATGAAGCAGTATGTGCAATTTGGTGAGGTATTCAACCTGTTGCATGCTGGAGCCAGCTATCTGCGCATCCACCAGCGTGGCTTTGGCGCGGTCGGCGTGTCCAAAAAGTACGGCAAGCGCTCCTACGCCCGGTACCCCATCTTTTGGGGATTGCAAAAAGTCGGCAACCTTCCCAATCCTGACCCCTCGGACTTGGGAGAATGGAGCAAGGAGCAAGCCATGGCAGTTCAACGGGGCGAAGTGGCCGTCGATCCGGATTATGAGGCAGGCCGTGGTGCGCTTAAACTGCAGGCGCAGGAATGGGCGGGTCTCAACCAGGACCCTGACGCTGAGCTGTTCGTTTTCGTTGGCCGTTGGTCCATGCAAAAAGGTGTCGACCTTATTGCAGATACCATGCCTTCTGTTATTGAAGCCAATCCGAAGGTCCAATTGATCTGCGTCGGCCCTGTTATTGATCTATACGGAAAGTTCGCTGCGCTCAAGCTCGATCAGATGATGAAACTCTATCCTGGTAGGGTCTTTTCACGCCCTGAGTTCACTGCCCTTCCGCCGTACATATTCTCGGGGGCAGAGTTCGCTTTGATTCCCTCCCGAGATGAACCGTTCGGTCTTGTGGCGGTAGAATTCGGTAGAAAGGGTGCATTAGGCGTGGGAGCCCGCGTTGGTGGAC